TGTGCTTGTGCTCAACATGATTTCATGGAGTTAATGGCAAGCGTGTGTCTCAAAGTGCTACAAAAGAAGATGAATCCTACCATGCTTAAAAAAAAAATTGTCGTATTTTGTGCATATTTAACTTATTTATTTTTATGTCCTACTTGTTGCAACCTTTTTCTGTTTTAGAATGGTGTAGTTACACATTTATATCAGATCATGTCTTGCTCCTTATGGCCTTCACTGTTAATCATCTGTTCCTTAAAACACTGTATTTAACCCTGAAAGTGCAAGAGAAATAGGGCCTACTGTTCTCTGACATTTTGCTCTTTCATCTGGGTGGAAAGCACTTTGCTGTTGCAGTAAGTGACAGGTTGGAATCTCAAATCAGCTGCAGCAGATCCAGTGGATTGAGGCTGGATCCCAACAAGGATTTTGGTGGAGGATTCTGTTGTGTTTGATTTGCTGGGCTGAGAATACAAGTTTTGCCTTCTCTTGGTTTCAGAAGGTGGTGTATGGTTGAGATAAGAGTACTGCTTCTAAAGACTATTGGAAATTAATAGCTTTAGTAATTAAATTTAATGTAAAGGTCCTGCAGTGATATCCATTTTAATAGTTAGTGTCTTCTCATCAGCATAGAGAGAGTCACGTTTCCTGGGAATGCAGCTGTGGTTCAGTTAGATAATGATTTTTCAATTTCGTTCACATATTGCTTGAAAAAAAATACTAGTCTTTGTGAACCTCTCTGAAATTGTGAGCAAACCTCAAGTTCTATCTTGGCTGGAGCTTGGAGTAAAATTTTAGTATTTTTCAAAGTTAATTCAAAAAACATGGCTTGGAAAATGAAAAATCCTATAAATTGACATTTTGGCTTCTTACCGTGACCTACTTTTCCCTTTGTCCCTCTCTCTGTTTCGGAGGGATTGTGTCTTTGATTCGTGACACCTTCGTTCTTATTTTAACCACTCGCAAGATCTTAAATGCACATATTTTCTGGGTGAGGTCTTGGAATTCTTAAGGAATTTGGGCTTCTTTTAAAAATCAGCTTGTGTATTTTGTTAATGGATATAAAACGTTTGGTGGAATACGTCAGGAAATGGCTGATGTGGCTTTGTGCTGTATTGACAGCTTGGTTGAGTAATTGCTGCCAACATCTGCATGCCTTGCCGGGGTTCGAGCGGGTTCCTGTAATCTTCCTCCTCCTCCGGAGGGATATGAGAGAAAACAATCACCCGAGTGGTTGCTATAGCATTTCATTAAGGAGCCTTTTCCACTGATTTGGGAAAGGCTCCTTTCCCACTTGGCAGCCTAGCATGGATAAAAGAGCTCCTCTCAGCTCTTTTCCCTGCGTTACCATATGCCCTTCAGGTCCTGACTGCGGGCTCGCAGCTTTGCCAGGTGGCCAGCGTTCTGAGGGTGGTGTTTTGCTGAATGGCTCTGCGTGTTCTCCATACACCCGAGCGAAGGGCTTCCTTGTCATTGCCTCGCTGGCCCAAAGCAGGCTGGCTGGGAACATCCGAAGCTCTGTAAGTGTTGTGACTTGGGGTGCTCCTCAGTTGACTGGCTAAAATGGATGGGAAGGCTTCAAATAAGACTGTCACAGAATTAGTGAGGAATTAATAGTTAAGAAATATATCGATATTATAATCAATTCTGTGAGCATAAATGAGCTCTGAAGTATTTTCCTCTCGCGTTCCTTTCTTTGTGGGATCTCATGCATTTAAGGAAAAACTGAGCCAGTTATATCCTGCGAAGTACTTACAGCAATTTCCTAGTGCAGTAATTAAAAATATTAGAAGGATATATGCAAAAACTGTCAGTGAGTCAGTGCTGGGAAAAGTATCCAGATTTTATCATGTATGTAAATGTTTTTTTTTTTCCTGCAAACATTTAGGCCTTGCTGAGCGACTCCCATTTTTTTAACCCATTGCACCAAGTGGTGGTTGACCCTTCGCTGCCTAGCTCTGCTCTCTGAATCACACAGCTCATGGGCTGCAGCGTGGGGCCTGCGGCTCTCCATCGGCATGAAGGTGCTTCGGTGCAGCCTCCTGCCCGCCACTTTGCAGAGCTCGGCGGGTTCTCCAGCCGGAGAACCAGGAAGAGCTTGGCTGGAGATCCACGCACGCCTACTTGTTGCCTTCGGCTTTATGTAGATGTCAAAGGTGGTAACGAATCTGGTGGTTGGGTTTCACATTGAAGTGGGAGACTAAATAGATTGATGTTCTTCATATTGCTTGTTCATGACAGTGCTACTCCACAGAGATTAACAGAAAGTTAATACCTGCTGATCCTTTAAAGCCTTCTATATATAGGGGCTTTCATTCTGGTAGTCTTTCAGGATTTGAAGTACAGCCACTTTGGAAGGACTTCCTTCTGCTCTTCAAAATCCTTTGTTTTGGTTTCAGATCTGATTCTGAATTCTGTAATACACTTTTCCACCTCCTTTGAAGGAGTTTGCTCGTTATCTTAGGCTGACTGGTAGACAGGGATTTGCCTGCAGGCTGCTGGGGCCATCGAGTGTGGCTAGTGACTCAGAAGCCTGCATTAGCCTGCATTCGACTGTGCCAGGCTTTATATTGTTGAACTTTTTTGTCCTCTCTTTTTTTTTTTTTCTCCCCTCCTGGTCCCACAGTGGTTTGCATTCAACTCCCAAGAGGCTTCCAGGAAACTTAAGCTAGTGTTTAAATAGTTTGGGGATAGATGCAGTGGGAAATGACAATAATGCTTTCTGGTTACAGACGTAAAGGCTGAGAACCCGTGTGTTGGTATTCTGCACTGGGAACCAGCACTGGCCTTGCTGGCCGAGATGTGGCCACGAGATGCACACATGAAGGATTCTGGGACGCAGTGCCAGCGTGCTCTTGTGTGTGCGTAAAATGTTAAAGACTAGGTACAGTGTATTTGTAGATCAGTTGCATGTTGTAGAAGTCATTCTTTCAGCATTCCTGAGCAAGTGTGTTTTTTCTACTATCAGAAGTTTTTTAGTTTGTTCTCAAGAGTTGAAACTTCCTGTGGTAGTTATCTGGACCTGAATCACCCTCAGGCAAAAGGTTTAGGATCCCAAATCTTCTGTTTCCTGGGAGAAGCCACCCGGACTCTACATTGGTACACATTTGGGGGCAATGCCATCTCCAGTTCTGTCGGACGTGATCCACTTGCCCATATCCAGGAGGATGGATGGGTATCTCTGTAGAGGAAAAGGGTCGTTTGGTGTTTAGTATGCTCTCCTCCACCGTGAAAATTCCAGTTGCAAAGATAGTATTTCTACCCCAAATACAGCATTTAGGAATACGTTAAATTCCATCGAGTGAATTCGTTTGCCAGCTTTCTTCCATCAGACCTTGTGAGTCACGTTATGCTGAGAGTGGGGCTGCTGTTTGCGAGAGTGGGTCGGGCAGGAGCTCCGAGAAGGTCAACAAAGACTTTTCCTCTAGTCTCAAAATAACTGATGTGGTTCCAGCTGAGCTTACCAGTGCCATGGAGGAGCTGGCTTTTATCCCTCCGCACGTGCAAAGTTTCAGAGAAAAGCCAAATTTATTCTGCTCCTGTAGAAGCTGTTAAACCAGTGAAGCTGCTCTGCCTCTGAATTATGCGTGTTCACCTTCCGTCCTGATGATGGATTCTAACTGGTGTCGCTGGACTCGAGACGAGAGCAGTGTAAGCTGTCGTTACACGACTGCTGCTGGGAGCACCAAGTGCTCCGTTGCTGCCTCTCCTTACCTGGATCATTGCAGTCTCTCTTTGTACAATTTCTTTTTATTGTTGCCTGCTGTTTATTAAAAACAACACTCTGCTTCTAGAAGCAAACTTTTATGACGTGAAGCATGAGTATCGCTGTAGGACGTTTGTGAAAGACCAAAGAATGGTTGAGATGATACACAAAATTTAGAGTAAAGGGGAGAAATGTTAATTAAAGGCAGACCGGTAGACTTCTCTATTGAAACTATCTTTTTGGTGGAAGGTAATGATATTCAGGCTGGATTTTACTTTGAAACTCGGTGATCTGTTTGTGACCTGGTTCCTGCGGCCGTTGATTTATTTCTATGGAGTGTGAAATGCCCTGGTGCGTGTGTGGCTTTCTGAAGAGAGATTGTTTAAATTTTCATAATTTCTGTAGCAGATACCTTCAGTACTTACCTCATAATTAACTGAAGTGAAAGAGTCTGAGCTAACTGTATAAAGTAAAATCTGTGCAGATATTTTTTAAGTTGTGCATTTGCCATGTCCCTCCTACAAGCACAGATGTGATTGTTTGGAAAGAAGGGAAGGACCAATATTTAAATGTAAACATTGTGTAATTCTCAGAATTACTGAGAAATTCATACAAATAACTTGCTTATCAAAATGTGTAAATGGCAAAATTGCTCATTTGAGTTGTCAGCCAGGGAGGGGGATGTCCTTGCCGTGGTCGGGGTGGATGGTAAGAGTTGCAGCCAGAAGGACCTGGATCCCCTACGAGACTCATGCCTTCAGGCCTGAGGAGTGTTGTGGGTGCACATCTGCAGTGCCATCCGCATGCAGCATGTCCTAAAGAAGAGACACTCATCGTGTTTTCATCAGCCACCTTAAATTGGTGGGCCGTTACTAGTGTTTGACCTTGTGGTTTGTTCTTTTTCTAGACACGTAATGAATGGGTGATCTCGGAGCTCCCGTTGAGGTGTCCAGTGTGTGTTCTAGGGGTGGTGGGACTCGGGTTTTGTTCAGGCCCCTCGGTACATGATCTCCAGCAGAACAACTTGTTTTCACGTATCTTTGAAAGTAGAGCTCTGGACTGAACAGTGTAATTGTGAGGGAGAGGGGGAGGTGGAAACCTACTGAAGAAACATCTCAGTGTGCTTTTGTTTTTTAATAGAGGTGTGACGTTTCTTGTTAATGAGTAGTTTCGTCAGAATTAAGCACTTACTTAAATTGTGTGTGAGGTTTGGTGCTTGCAGATGGTGAGTTCTGCTGCTTCTCCCTGCTGTCCTGCTAGAAATCTTCAAAACTGGTAATGAGCATCAATTTTTTCTTGTTTTCCTCAGGCAAAATACATCTCCCAGTGCATCGATGAGATCAAGCAGGAGCTAAAGCAGGATAACATTGCAGTGAAAGCAAATGCAGTCTGCAAACTTACATATGTAAGTGCCTTGCTGGGATACGACGTAATTGCATCTTTATTTTTTTGTTTCCTGCTGCCAAGGAGCTAGTCTTCAGTTGGAATGCCTGCTGTTCTTACTGGTGTAAGTGCAGGCTGCAGGTGGAAACACTCCCGCTTGTGTCTGACGTCAGAGGCTGCATGTTCCCGTTCCAGTAATTGTGCTGGCATAGTATTGGTACAATTTTATTTTGTTGACATAGGTCAGGAAGCTAATCTGATTTAGAACTAATCCAATTTAAAAAGTTGGTTTCAACTGGGTTGTGTCTTATCACACAGTTGCATGAGCACATGAAACTGGAGTTTGTCCCTCTTTGTGGAGTCCTTTCTCGAGAGAGGAGGGAAATACCGTTAAAGAATTTTTTTTTTGTGGTTCTGTTCTGTTTTTTATTAAAAAAAAAAATATATCCAGGAAAACAAGCCTTCACAGTTGCTTTTATAACTGCACAGATAGTACCTAGATTTAATGCAAACTATCCAAAACTTGCTTCTGGTGGAATGTCAAGACTTCTGCCACTTCTACGAGTGGTACAGAGTGTGACATTACTTGTAAACTTGAGATGTCTTGGTATTATTTTTGGAGTCTTGTTCCATCTTCAATCTTCTGAGGTATCCTGACCTATTTTCTCAAGTCCCTTACTTGTTATCTTGGCTTCTCTCCCCAGTTGCAGATGCTGGGCTATGACATCAGTTGGGCTGCTTTCAATATTATTGAAGTCATGAGTGCATCAAAGTTTACATTCAAGGTGAGTTCTCGGTGTAACTACAGCTGCACTGTCCGAACCATTTCGTTCCTGTATTTATTGAATGCATTGCTACAGCGTCTTTTGGGTTGCTTTCTTCAATATGGGAAGGGAATAGACGATTTCTAGTAAATGGATAACACTTGGCCTGCTAGTAGAGGCTTTTTCTACCAGATGTTTGACAGTAGCTGTCACATATCTTTTGTGAAAAACCAAGATATTTTTACATGAAGACCACCTAAGATTCCTAGTAGCAGGCATGTTTTATTTTGTAATAGCTTTATAATTTTTCTTGAAAGGTTTTATTCTTGCTCTGTGCTGCAAACCTTTTTCACCAAACAGGGTGGGAAGTTACTTCATGAGGAATAGTTTCTAAATTAGGCTTTAGTACCTGAAAGTCAGGACTCAACACAGATAAAATGAATGTCATGTTCTCCGTTTCTCCTACTGGCAATCCTACCTTATTTCTGCATCTTCCTGGTCGAAGAACCTGTATGTTCTAACAAAGTAGAGAAGGTGAAGCTAGTTTTAGTATCCTTAAGATGGAGGTAATATCACTAGAGTCATTACTTGTCTCAGATTATTCTTTCCTGATATAAACTCCCTTTTCTGGAGAACCCTGTCATGCCTCTTCTGTTTTGCAAACCTCCTGCCTAATTATTCATCTTTTAATATTGCTTATGAAGCTACTAGTTGTTGTTCACCTAAATATCATCTAGACTTACTTTAATTTTTTTTCCGTGCCTTTTTACAGAGAATCGGTTACCTAGCTGCCTCTCAGTGCTTTCATGAAGGAACTGATGTAATTATGCTGACTACTAATCAGATCCGAAAGGTAAACTTTTTACTTCAGTTCTTAATTTTTTTTCCTTGCAGTATCTCACTACTGTGTTTTCAAATCTATACAAAGCATTTCTCTTTTAGGAATATAAAGGTGTTTAAGTAGAATTCTGTTTACTTGGTTCACCGTCTACTCTGGTTCTACAAGGTGAAGGATTAACAAAATGCTTGTGAGCTCTCCATAGGCTTCCCTCATGCTGTCTCATACCAGCTCTGTGTTCATTCTTCCCAGTGAATGGGAACAGTAATAACCTTTGTTAATATTACTAGTCTCTTCAGCAGCCATGTAAGAATGTGATGCATAAGAAAAATGTCCCTGTTCCTGATGATACTTCTTGAATGCATCCCCTTTGCAAGAAGAATGCCTTTCTTAGTATAAGGACTTGATTTATTTGTGTTTGTTTATTTGTCCTGGGATTGTTGGTTGCACTCAGAGTTGTGGTCAACGGCTCAGTGTCCAAGTGCAGGCCAGTGACGAGTGGTGTTCCTCAGGGGTCAGCATTGGGACTGACGCTGTTTAACATCTTGATTGGTGACATGGACAGTGGCATCAAGTGCACCCTCAGCAAGTTTGCTGACAACACCAAGTTGTGTGGTGCTGTGGACACGCTGGAGGGAAGGGATGCCATCCAGAGGGACCTTGACAGGCTGTAGAGGTGGGCCTGTGAGAACCTCATGAAGTTCAACAAGGCCAAGTGCAAGGTCCTGCATGTGGGTCGGGGCAATCCCAAGCACAAGCACAGGCTGGGCGGAGAATGGACTGAGAGCAGCCCTGAGGAGAAGAACTTGGGGGTGTTGGGTGACGAGAAGCTCAGCATGAACCGGCACCGTGTGCTGGCAGCCCAGAAAGCCAACCGTGTCCTGGGCTGCATCCAAAGCAGCGTGGGCAGCAGGTCAAGGGAGGGGATTCTGCCCCTCTGCTCTGCCCTCGTGAGACCCCCACCTGCAGTGCTGTGTTCAGCTCTGGGGTCCCCAACATCAGAAGGACATGGAGCTGTTAGAGCAGGTCCAGAGAAGGCCACGAAGATGATCTGAGGGCTGGAGCACCTCTGCTCTGGAGACAGGCTGAGAGAGTTGGGGCTGTTCAGCCTGGAGAAGAGAAGGCTCCAGGGTGATCTTATTGCAGCCTTCCAGTACTTAAAGGGGGCCTACAGGAAAGCTGGAGAGGAGCTTTTGACAAGGGCATGTAGTGACAGGACGTGGGGCAATGGCTTTAAACTGAAAGAGGGGAGATTTAGCTTAGATCTAAGGAATAAATTCTTCCCTCTGAGGGTAGTGAGGCACTGGACCAGGTTGCCCAGAGCAGCTGTGGCTGCCCCATCCCTGGCAGTGTTCAAGGCCAGGTTGGATGAGGCTTTGAGCAACCTGGTGTAGCGGAGGGGGTCCCTGCCCATAGCAGGGGGGGTTGGAACTGGGTGATCTTTGAGGTCCCTTCCAACCCAAACCATTCTATGATTCTATGATTCCTGATGTAAAATGAACATTCCACTGGCTCCACAAAACTTCTGTTTGTGAGAGCGTTTTCATTAGGCTTTTCACTCGTTTGGTATAATTGTGTGTGAAAAACGGTGAGGAGCATATCATAGAATCATAGAATCGTCTGGTTGAAAGAGACCTTCAAGATCATCGAGTCCAACCATGTAAGGTTGTATTCTGTATTAATGTACCAAGGTGTGGTGTATTCATTTTCATAGAGCTTGATCTCTTGGATTTTTTCAGAGTTACTGAGTTGCAGGATTATTTTCTTATTCTTCAGATTATAGATATATTTGTAAAGCTCTTAATTTTTTTAAGTATCATTGCTTTAAAACTTCACTGATCCAGTGCAAGATGTGCCGACGTTTTTACTGTCTAAGCTAAAATGTCTTTTACGTGCTTACAAAAGATCAGTGGGATGTTTTCCAGTATCTTTCCTAAAGAACTAGTGCTTTTTCACTTTGTCTTTTAAACAGCTCTGCTCTGACAAGTGCATATTTTTAATGATGTCCATTCATTTTCTTTATTACAGAGATTTTATTATACTGAATTTCATTCACTTACTGGGCTGTGCCTTCCTTTTTGTGCCCAAGTTTTTACTTAAAGGCATAAATAAAGATGCTTTTTCATGTTCCATTGATACAGCAGCCTGATGTTTTAAGGGATTATCGGTTCTCAGAACACATTATAGCCAGAATCAATTGCAAAGTTTTGTTGCTCCTTGAGAAGTAGATTCCATTATTCTTAAAGTGGGATCTAATTTCCCACCACCTGTGAAAGGTTTTAAAATGAGATGCAAGTGGCACAGAACCCTGAAGGCCTGGCTATGTTTAGCTCTGCTAAAGCAGCCTCCGTGTCCATGTGAATCTGGGAGGTTGATCCTGGTAGTTCATGTGGGAATGCTCCGTGCAGCTCGCTTCGCCTTCTTGCTTTGTGATAACTGCAGTTAAGGAGAGATCCTGTGATGCTCTGTGTCCAGTGAGGTCTAGTTTTACAATTTCTACTTGAACATACTCAGATGTGAATATTTGTATTGTTAAGAGCCTGAAGCTTAGAAAAACCCGAAAGACTATGTGGGATGCTGACTACAAATAAGTCCAAAGAAACTTGACCCTTAAAATATATTCTACATCCTAGATTGTGTTTATGTCTTTAGGGACTGAGAGTTATAGTGCAGCCAGCAGCTTGGAAGGACAATAATCTTATTTCTCTAGTAGAGAGTAAGCTAAGACATCTTAGTTCTGGGGAAACTTCCCTGCAGAAGGGCTCACCGAAGCACCTGTGCAGGAGCTGCGGTGGCTTCAGACCAGCCCCAGCCCTTCTCATTTCAAGCACCAGGTGTTTGGTGTCAAACCCAAAGGAGCCTTCGCATGAAGTTGTGGCTGCCCCATCCCTGGCAGTGCTCAAGGCCAGGTTGGATGAAGCTTTGGGCAACCTGGTGTAGTGGAAGGTGTCCCTGGCCATGGCAGGGAGGTTGGAACTAGATGATCTTTGACGTCCCTTCCGACCCAAACCATTCCATGATTCTATGATTCTACTGTTGAACACTGGACAAGAGCGTCTGTTCCCAATGAACTTGATGACAAGTGGGCTTTGACTTGGCAGGGTTAGTATTTAATACCAGGTTTTTAGGATTTTAAACATGTTTGTGATCACGTCCTGAGTTTTTAAAAATTATTTACCATTTCTGAAATACCACCAAGATACGATATTTCTAATGGCTTTTATGCTGCAGTCATCCATTTATTGTTTATGATTCCTCATGCCCATTAGTAAACCTCCGACTAGCTGCATTTTAGCAGGCATTGGAGGACATTCCTGGTAGTAGTTGATATCAGTGTTCCCATGGAGTAGAAGCTCTGCTTCATATCTGTTGAGTAAATAAAAAGTGGCCTGAGAAAACTGTTTCTCAACATCCTGTGTGATCTTAAATTTTTGAGCCTTTTTTTCCTTTTTTAGGATCTGAGTAGCCCTAACCAATATGATACTGGAGTTGCACTGACTGGCTTGTCCTGTTTTGTTACTCCAGATCTTGCCAGGGACTTGGCAAATGACATCATGACACTGGTGAGTTGATAAGACTGCCAAAACTTTTTCCTGTAATTAAAGAATGTTAAATTGTTCAAATCTGATACAAATCTCTCAGATTTAGAGCCGTTACATGTGAAAACTGATGCTTTGTTCCTGTGGAGTTTTTGGGGAGCCTTTACAGACCTTAGTGGGCTCAAGAGGATTGCTTTGAATATTTCTGTTAGTTTTGGTGGTAAATAACAATACTCTGCTCTCCCCTCAAAGCTGAGTTTTCTAAAAATAGTTGAGTCTCCTAGGAAGAAATTTCGAGACAGTGGTGTGGAGGTACGGACCTCGTGAAGAACTCTGGAAACACAAATTTGCTGTGCACCTGATTGCAGTTGTTTCATTGACAGATGTCTCACACAAAGCCTTACATCAGGAAGAAGGCAGTGTTAATCATGTACAAAGTTTTTTTGAAATACCCAGAGTCCCTCCGTCCCGCGTTTCCTCGCCTTAAAGAGAAACTTGAAGATCCAGATCCCGGTAAGTGGATTTTAGTAAATTATTTCTACTCCAGAACATCTAGGTGTAGCTGCTTTTAGAGCTTGTGGGGAGAAGAACACCGGAAAAACGCCGTAGTCATCGGTTTGCCTGTTTAATAGGTAGATGAGCAGATGAGAGTTTTGGAGATGTTGCCATATTAAAAAGACATTCTTTAAAATGTCCAATTCTGACTTCAAACCCAACGCTACTGAAACTGTATAAGTGAATTAAGGCTTAATGAGACAAAGCTGCTTAATGATTCCTGGTTTGTTGCGTGCTTAATTGACTATTGAAAATATTTCAGTTGATTTCAGAGTTTTTGGTGTTGTTTCCTGTGCTCTTTTACAAAGCTGCAGCTAATGGCTTACCATGGATGTATTGAAAATAATTTCACATCGCTTAGTATACTTCATTTTTCCATTTTTCAAAATTTAAACTTTGAATCCGGACTGCTGTCTGGGCCCTTTAGTGCTGTGTCAGTGCAGTTGGGCTGCAGCACATGGAGTTTGTGTTGTGTTCACACTTCTGCTCAGCCTTCCCGCACGGTGCTGCTCTTCCCTCACCGCACCGAAACGCCGTACGCGTGTTTCAGGAATTCGGTGTGTGATGCAGTTCTGTGACCTCCAGTTGGTTTGTGTGTGTGTTTAGAGGGAGCAATTTAATTGCATGTACTGGACTAATTTGGTGTGGGCATGTAAGATGCATCTTCCAGGGACAACGTTTCTAAAGAAAGCAAAACACACCCCCCCCCCAGCTGCAGACAGGGGAAGAAAATACCTATTGTGCTTTATGGAAAAAAGGGCTGCTTTCCACTAGAAAACCCAGACTACCTAGACTAAAAGATTCCAATTTGAGGACAATCAATTTAGAGACTGAGCAATTCCAAAGGAGTGAACTTGTGTAGTCAGGTTGTTTAAGGATTCCTTATTTTTGTGTTGTAGTTAAACATGTATAAACAATGTTTTAAAGAATCAAGAGTGTTTTGAAACTTTGTGGTGGGTAAGATGATTAGGTGTTGTGTTGCCTGGGTAGCAGAAACAAGCCATCCGCATTAAAGAGGGAAGGAGGCTGGCAGTGTCCTCTGGAAGCAAAGCAGATACCCAGCTTGCTGATATATTAGAAAATAGCCAAAATAAAATAAAAACCTTTCTCAGCTTGTTTTTGCATTCCTGTGTTTAGTTCCCTACCTCCATGGCTGGCAATGAGGCTGAACCATTCCTTTTGGACACACGAGTCTGAATCTTTAGCTGCTTTTGTTCTGGGGGTTCTGCACCAGAAACTTCAATTACAATTAAGGCATTGATGAGATTTCTGCTTTTCCCACTTCTTTTCCCAGGTGTGCAGTCTGCTGCAGTAAATGTTATTTGTGAGCTGGCTCGACGCAATCCCAAAAACTACCTTTCCCTTGCTCCGCTCTTTTTCAAGTTGATGACGTCGTCAACCAATAATTGGGTTCTCATTAAAATCATAAAACTGGCAAGTATTCCGGATCTATGTTTCCAGGATTGGGGTCCTTGTAAATTAGCTTGGATGTGAAAATAGACTTCTTGCTTGGAGGTGTGGTTACCACCAAATCCGAATAAAAAGAAACCGGGAAAATCTTCCAACGTTTATGAACATAACTGAAGAGAGAAAAATATTTTTGTATAGCTTGGTTTAAATATAATGAGGTGCAATTTAAATCATGTTTTTATAGTGTTTAAAAGCAGCTACTAAATCCCTTTCTTTTCTGCACTTCTTTTTAAATAGTTTGGTGCTCTTACTCCATTAGAACCTAGGCTGGGGAAGAAATTGATTGAGCCTCTGACCAACCTCATCCATAGGTGTGTATGACAAACGTTACCTTGTTCAGAGTTGAAGTGCCTTTTAGGTCCATCAGTAGCTAGGTCTGTGGGTGCATTTCTGAACGTTTTCTTGAGTCTTGATATATTGGCTTCGGATATCAAAGGATAATCATATCAGGACTATTTCTGAAAAACCTGAGTGAGAGAAAACACCTTTAAGGAAAATCTTTGGGTGTCTTACTGTCAGCATGAATTTCTCCAAAGCATGCATGAAAACTGGGGCAGTTTGCTTTCCACTCACTTCATTTTAAGCCAGAAATGACTCTGGAGAAGATAAAAAAACCCTATATTTTTATTACGTATATTTGTCTCTCCTGTTCACCTACACACATTTGGTTCTTGACTTTGTTGGAAGTGCCTTACTCACCAAAGCAGCATGACAGGAGTATATTAAAGTTTTTTTTCTCAGGCTTTTGTCAGCCCAGACATGTTTTGGAAGAGACTCCTTTAATATATGTCCTAAATATAGATTAGATAAATTTGAAGATATTTCCTTGTCCCTTGTTAAAGCTGGTTTGTAGTGTTGTTTTGGATCTAATTCTGAACTGAAATCAAAAAGTAGGTGTCTTGGAGGGAATATGTGTCTTTTGCTAGTTGTGAAAAGGAAGTGTGATCTTATGCATGAGTTGTTAAATTAAAAGATTTGTTTCTCTTCACGTGGCAGAGCAGGAAGATAGATGAGAATGAGCATTTTTCAAAGGGTATTCCTGTAGCCATGAGAGCAGCTCTAGCCAAACAATTTCTGTCCGTCTTCCTAGTATACCTTTAGGGCTGGCTGAGAGCAGACCAGCCAGCAGCCTTACATCCAAATACCTACAGAGAGCTTTTGCAGCAGTGACAAATACGTACAAATTCAGCAGAAAATTTGCCAGGAGGAGCAGGAAGATGGCTAGTATGTCTTCAGTCCTGCCCCTGCCACATCTCCCCGACTCCGATGTTAGTCGTTCATCTAATTATTTGTGAGGACATAATTCTGTTCGGTTTGGTCTCCATTCAGTCGTTCTGGATCTCACATCACTTACGCATAGGGGAACCACCCTCCCATCCACCATGAAACGGACAGGGAGCAAAAGGGATTGTCTTGGTTCTGAGCGTACAAGAGTCACGTACACAGTGTGCTGGGTGACCTTCATGGTATCACTTGTGGCTGCTGCCTCCAGAGCTGTTTGCTCATGACCTTTGCAGACCTTGCTTCTGGAGTCTGCTCCTTTTGTTACTGGTGAGGTTTGCTGTGTTTCCCTTCTGTGCGGATCAGGATTAGTAGGTGCCTTTGAAATCCTCAGAATTGCACTACGTGTGTTCAACTGGCAAAAGTCTTGAATTTAAGTTTTGGGGGCAAACAAACATTGAAAATGGGTCTGGAAGTGTTCAAGGCCAGGTTGGATGAGGCTCTGAGCAACCTGGTGTAGTGGAAGGTGTCACTCCCCATGGCAGGGGGGTTGGAACTAGGTGCTCTTGAAGGTCCCTTCCAACCCAGCCCATCCTGTGAAGCGTGTACCTGCACACCAGCAGGGTCTGCTGTTTGCGCGTGACTCGCTCACTTTGGGGAGAGAGACTTGAGCTTCTCCATCTGCCTGTTCCATCATGAATTTTTGACCCTGGGCAGAGGATTTGATTTGATCCATGGACAAGATTGCTTCGGTGCTCTGTAATGGTACCGAGGTTCTGAGCCAACTGCTTCCTTCCTCATTCCTTGTGTTGCAGTGCTGTTACTTGCTGCTTCTCCGAGGCTTATTTATTTTTAAAAAGAAACACAAAACATTCAGTAGCCCTTCCTCCCCCCCAACAGCTTTTAAATGAGAATCATTTTGTGTAGTTTGAAGGTATATGGAACAGAATACTGACAATTTCTGGTGTAATTAAAGGTGTTAACTAGCTTTGAGATATTGCTGACAACTCTTCAAAGTGTGCTGGTTTTAATCCTTATTTAAACTACTTGATTTCTGTTTCAGCACCTCAGCCATGTCTCTCTTATATGAATGTGTGAACACCGTAATAGCAGGTGAGAACTGAAATTTGTGACCTAGAAAAAAAAATTATGAACTTTGTCATCAATTAACACCATCTGTAAACCTTTTTCAACTTAATGTATTTTATAACTGAAATAAGTCACCTGGCAAACTTTGATTTGTGTCACTGAGTAACTGTAACTGAAATCCTTTGTTGTCAGTCGGTGAGGCTGAGTCGCCGTGGCTATCTTGTATTTGCTAAAGGCTGAAACAGAGTGCTAGCAGGGAGTGATTATTGTGTGCAAGCTCCTAAATGTTGCTAGAACTACGAAATATACCAGCAGCAATAGAATTTTAAAAAGACTGATGCCTCATGGAAACTTTGACAGTTTTTCTTCTTATGTGATGAAGGAGCAGACTTATTTTTGTATGCCTACAATTTCACAGCTAAAAAACTTGGTGTAATTCCCCAAAGGAGGTCATGGAAATCATTGATTTACAGTTTCCGTTTCTGAGTGGGGAAGGGATGTGAATTCCGTGATGGAGAGAGAAACCAAGGCGGAAAGGGATAACACAGGATTTCAGCTCAGACTTGGCACTTTTCCATCATAGTGTGGAAGTAGAGGGTTATTGACATCCACGGTTCAGGCATAAGTCTTGTCTCTTGTGGGTGGTTTGGATAATGATGCAGGATCTCGCTGTACCGGGTCAGTTCAGAGGGGAGGGGCTGATCTCACTCACTTGGTATTTGTTCATTCGTCCCTTCAGGGAAACGTGAGCTGACATTATGATGGGGGAAAAAAATGAGAGATTAATTCTGTTGTAGATGAGATTGTGCTTCCCTGAGATACAGTAGGATGATTCTGTGGGTCAAAGAGAAATTCACACACCCAGGACACCTCAGGGCCTGTTCAGGGACTGTAATGTAAAACTTGAATTCAGACAATGAATGAAGCTGCGTGTCCACGTTAGAGCAGCACCTTGCCTGGGCCAGCTCTTTGCATGACCTGAAACGATAGTATCCAACAGCCCTGCTCTGAACTGGAGCTCTGCAGGATTATGGAGAGCAAAATGCCACTATACTCCAAGGCCGGTGTGTGTGCCTCGCTCAGGAAGAGTTGGTGTTGGCATGGACGTGCTATCTGACAGCAGCAGTTAACAGGGTGATGCCACCTTTTCTGCTGTGGGGTTGCGTGCTGCCCGAGCTTTACAAATATCCAATATAATCAACAATGGGACCTGATTTTTGCCTCGAGTCTCTTGCTGGCTTGATTAAAACTCCCACCTAATGACATTAAACTCTAGGATCTGTTGCTGCATCTCGTTGCATTAGGGAAGTGCATATGTCAGCTGTACAGTAGCTGATGACATATTTAGTCTTGTAAACCTTGATGAGAGCAAAGCGTAATGACCTGGCTGTTCCAGCAGTTCCTACCTTTACCCTTTTTTTTTTCTGCCCTGCTATTATCACTCTGGAGGTATACGAAACTGCAGTTTGTGTAGCAACCTTCTCTCCTCGCCCCAGAACCCCGAAAGTCCAGGCAAACGGGCAAAGATGAACTGGCACCTTTCCTTGTGAGCTGAGCTGACTGTTGACCGTTAGATGCTGTGGTGTTGCATTTGTTTAGAACGCAGAAATACTAACTGAAATTTGTGCTTGTGTATTGCAGTTTTGATCTCTCTGTCCTCTGGGATGCCTAATCACAGCGCTAGCATCCAGGTATAAGGCTGAGTTTTGGTGGGGTTCGCTTGTTCTGCTGTATTGTGTAACGCCAAGTGCCATGGAGAAATTGGGTTGTGTTCCTCTGCCAAAAGTTAAAGCAATAGCTCCCTGAAGTGCTCTCACTTAGGTGAAATCCTACAGACTGAAGCATTTCCTATAGAAATTCTCTTACTTCCTTTGTTCCAAAATGCACATTCTTCTTATTTAGAGAGTTTTTCTAACTCTTAATTCAGCTGCTACTGCCAGTACACTCATGTAGACGTTCCTTTTGTCTGTTAATGCAACAAGACCCTCTTACTAGAAGCCCCAGGTCTTGATCAGTATGCTTCCTTGTGTTTTGAATAATGAAGAGTTATTTTAATTAATACTTTTAAGGCTTGTAATAAGCATGACGTGGTCTTTTTTTCCAGCTTTGTGTTCAGAAGTTGAGAATATTGATAGAAGATTCTGACCAGAACTGTAAGTATGTTGCTTGTCTTCATGGAAGCTTTTAGCAACCAACCACTGGGGAGAAACTGCAGCAGTCTTAGAGCAATGAGCTGCTTCTCCAAACAGCTTGCTCGGTGTTGTAGTGCCTGGTACGTTGTAAACGATTGCTGGGTTTTTAAATGTGGAAATAATTTTTGATGGTGAGTACTTCGTTATAATGAACTTTTTTCAAAACAAATGAGATTAGCTATTACTGCTGTTTGTGGTCTTGAAAGTGTAGAACCCTTCTCTTTCCGTGCTCTGGGATTTCCTTTTTTTATAAACTTGCTGCCTGGAAAGTAGTGAGGGGTATTCCGTAGTGTTACTTATTTTACCAACTGCAAAGGATACTGGGAAGTCCTTTTTCGTGCAAACCTTTTTCCTGCCGTATGAATTTTTCCCATTGAGAACAAGGCTCCTGCTTGGTCGTGCTTTTAAAGCTGTGCTCATCCCCGGGTGCCCGTTCTCCAAGCCCACAGCATCTGTGTAAATCAATGGTAATGCTTGAGGTGCAAGACGACTGTGATGAAGAATATATGTGTAATTCCGTGCCTCTAAATGGGATTATGAAATTAAAGACCATAATCCGTGATACACTGTTTCTCAA